GGGGGGGGGGGTGCAGGAGTCTGGGTTAGTTGACATTGTAATTTACTGCACACACGCCCATTTGAGTTTCTCTTGCAGTTTCTCTGTGTGTCCTCAATTCCTTTACCTCCATCAGTGATCACTTTTCTGTTTATTACATTCCAACCATCTGCTCCAGCTCCAATTAAATGGCTGCAGGTAGTGAAACTCTGGCGTCTTTTTTTACGAGGCGGCCTCCAGAGAGAGCCAGTCTCTGGCTCTGTAACCAGAATACAGGGTTTCCTACATAAATAATGAGGTGCAGATGTCAGCTGCGATATGGCCGCACTCATGTTTTATACAACAAACTTTTTGTTTTTTACTTGATATCGTCCTCACCTTGTTTCACCACTTCTTCACTGCCTGGCTGTGGCAACGGACAAAACCAAACGAAAGTCTTGTTTGCGTCCTTGTACGTGTTTGTGTTGCAGGAAACAAATAAATCAATGCTGAACAGAAGTCATTTATATTTCACAAAACCTGGAGAGTGTTAATGGGCTTCTCTCATTGTGAAAATCTTTCTCAAGGTGATCAGAAGAAATCACTGCGATGACTATATTAATTATATAACAGGGGTGGATCCAGGGGTGGGGCCAGGGGGGCCTAAGGTGCCCCTGCCCTGTCAGTACTTTTTCCTTTTTAATAAACCAGTGACTTACTAACAACACTAACAATAAATAGGATAATTCATTATGAAGCTTTTTTGAAGTACACAATGTGCGTGAACAAGGATCACCTCTCAAAATATATTCGATGATGTGTTTGACGTATTTCCGTCTGTATGAGATGTGACAGCTGCAGGACGATGTAGAGATAAAGGCAGTTATATATTTCTTCACAACAAATTAATTAAAAAAAAAAAACAGGCTTGTGGCTCCCTCATCCTGTGTTGCATGTATTTTGGGTTTCTGTGACTCAGTTGAATGAAAATACCATCTGTGCCTGCTGATGTGAATGACAGAACGTTGGGGCTGTGTCGCTGCCTGCAGCATCTACCTGTTGGCACTGCGCTGCAGCACCCCTGTGGATAGTTTCCATTCCTTAAAAGGAGCTGTTTCAAGCAGCTCTGAAGTAGAATATTCTTTTCACACCATTAAATTAAAACAATAATTAAAGAGTAAGATGGTTAATTCAGGCCTCTGCTGTTAAAACAAACTATGCTTTAGACTACACAGTATTTGTGTGGCTGCTTCCGCGTGAATACATTTTGTTTTTTAACTGTTTTCACAAGTATTATGCATTCTGTCATTCACAACCTGTGGAGCATCTTCAACACCCACCTCAATGGTGATAACAGTCAATACATCGTCATGGCAACTACGCTTCTCATCCTAACAACTGCCTCACCGCCCACAGAGGTCCCACAGCAACCGTCACCAAGCAACCCCCTCCCTCTTCTCAGTTTCTCTATTTAAGGAGCAGAGGAGGAGGAATGATAAATGATACTGCACAGGGAAAAAAAATTAGGGAGAGATGTTGAGAGTTGTGCAAAATGACTTGTTGCTTGTAATTGATTTTGCTTTGAAAGGAAACAAATCACAACTTGTTAATGTTGTGATGGATTTCTTGCGAATACTTAAAATATCAATATGTGGGTTTGCTGTTGAATATTTAAAACCTAGCTCAGCTGTGGTGATGTGCACTCTCCTGTAGGTGTCAGAGTTGTGTAATTGTATCTCTGGGCTTATGCAACATAATGGAAGTTATCCTCAGTGTTATTGTTGGACTCAACAATCATTTAGCCAGGTCATGTGTTGCTGGGCACAGGATGTCCTGCCGAAAGACGCTGTATTGTATATCTTCCTCTCAGGGAAGTGACTGTGGTGTTTGTATTGCAGTTGTATTATATGCAAGATAAAAACTGAAAGCAATTAAAATTCCTACAAGATATTTCCATGTTCCCTTAGAAGGCTTTTCCTGAATTATTTTGAACGACAAAAGTCCAACACAGGAAACTTCTGGTGGAACAGTGACAACTCATGGAGGGAGGGGAGCGGATATTCTTTTTATGTCATCTATGCAGAATCAAACGCCCCCTCACATCCCTGACCCTGGCTCCCTCCTCTCTGCCTTATTATGGGACAGAACACAGCTGACAGAAGGGGGTGTGGCTAACACAAGCAGGAAATACAGGCGGAGCATGTGACTATAAAGTTATTCTCCCACACACTCACTGACTTTTTGTTTCGGCTGGATTTTGTGGGTCACAACAGGATTTCTGCGTGGACTTCCCTGAATCTGGATATGTTCTGTGACTATTGCTTCGCTGACTGCAGTTAGGATCGCTCCAGTTTGTATCCAGACAAACCACACTGGTTGCAAATCTTGTGTCTGCTCTGTTTTTGTCTGCCTCTGTGACAGCCTGAGTGAAAGTGACTCTGGGAGGAGATGTTAAATGCATGTGTCATGTCTCATGGTATTTAATAGCAAGCTGTTCTACACCTGCTGCTGACAGAAACAACCTGGTTTTTCCAGTCAGTATGCTGTTGCTGGTATGTGGCAGTGGAGGTTTGTGTTTTGGTGACTGATGATTCCTCAAAATGTGCTGTCACTGCTGCATTTCTTGGAGGAGGAGGGAATAAGCAGTAAAAGACACAGAGGCATAAACAAGACAAGGCTTGGCTGAACGTAGTAGCACATTAACTCATCCTCTGAACTCATTAAAGGAAGGAGATAAAGAGCAGAGGCCTCTCTGTTGGATCACCTTTAGTATACACAGGGAATGTTGTCAGCATTTGACACTGCCTTGATTTACCAGTGATACAAGTTCATCATGAGTTCCACTAAGAGATGGTTAGTCCCACGTCGCTCTAGAGTCTACATGTAAGTCCTTATGTCCAAACCTGCTCTCTCATTTATTCACTAGTTTGCGCTTAACGCTCAAGTTTGGTGTAACTTTTGGGCACTGACCCATTCTAATGCCTTCTACTCTTTCTCAGTGTGGAAGGGGAGTCCCAGTGTCCGGAGACGGGCACCCACAAAGACAGCTCTTTCGGCCAGACACCCTACCTGCGTGGCTCAGAGCGCTACAGTGACAGCGGCGGAGGCAGCAGCGTACCCCCTGGAACCCGGGGCCCTTCGTGCGTGGCCACCTCCAGCTCAGCCAGCTTGGCCTGGGCGCTACGGACACGCCACCAACCTGCAAGTCTGGCCCTCCGCAAGCAAGAGGAGGAGGAGAACAAGAGATGCAAGGCCCTATCAGACAGTTATGAACTCTCAACAGATCTGCAGGATAAGAAGGTATCCATGCTCTGTTGGTCTGAGGATAAATGTCCCAAATGTTTGTGTTTCCTAGAAGCCATGAGCACCAAACACCATGTAGAGAGTGAATATACAGACAGTGCATATTTGATGTGAGTTCATCCTTGGTCTCTTCTCCTCACCCTCTGCCAGGTGGAGATGCTGGAGAGAAAGTACGGTGGCTCCTTCGTAAGTCGCCGAGCAGCGAGGACCATTCAGACGGCCTTCAGACAGTATCGCATGAACAAGAACTTTGAGCGCCTCAGAAGCTCCGCGTCAGAGAGCCGCATGACCCGTCGCATCATCCTCTCCAACATGAGACTGCAGTATTCGTTTGATGAGCGGCAGCCTCAGCAGCAGGCCCAGACACAGACCAACTTCACCCACAGCGTGGCCATCGGGCCTCCTCATTCCCCCGACACAGACCGCACAGGGGAATACACCCATTTAGAGGACTCCTTCTCCAAACAGGTAACACTGTGAGGGCACCTCTGTTCTTTGTTGTGTGTTGTAAAAAACAAGCTTAAGTTCATTTAGTTACAATGAATATCTAAAAGTTATTCATATAGAAAAACAGACACAGAAGAAACTAGAATAGCACTTAGTAGAGCGCACACCTCCACCAAGTCCCCTTAAATTCAGTCAAGCAGCACCACATTGGACACAATCTCCTAAATATGCCTGATAGTATTTATCTAGATCCATTCATTATTCTCTGCTGGAAAATCTGTAAAAGTGTCAACGAAAGCCCTATTCTGGGATTGGCACCAAATGTTATTGGATTCTCTCTTGACTTATATCACATCCTTTCACCAAGTTTCATGGTAATCCCTCCATTTATTTGTGTGCACTGTTGCTAACCAACAAACATATAACCAGTGTACTGAAGTTTTCTTTCTGACTGGAGGCTCTGAAATAGGAAGGAACGGGATGTGTGTATTCAGTCCTGCTAACTGCGGTTCCGCTTTGTCTTTTCTTCTAGGTCAAGTCCTTAGCTGACTCGATAGACGACGCCCTTACCTGCCGCGCGGGTCGCGATGACTCCCAGGAGGGCAGCAGGGAGGGAGGAGGTATAAGCGAGGACTTTGGCGAGTGTGTGTGGAGCAGTAGCAGCAATCCATCCTCCCAGAGAGGTCTGGGAGAAAGAGCCAGGGGAGCTGGAGGAGGACTCAGTATGCACGGAGACAGCACGGCCACATCGTACAGTGATGTCACCTTATACATGGATGATGGGATGCCGTCGTCACCCCTGTCCCTCGACCGGGCACCCAGCAGCACAGACACAGAGTACTGGGGCCCCGGTGGTGGTGTTGGAGGGCGTGAGGACAGCAGGGACACAGAGGGAGGGGGTAGCAGTAACAGCCGGCGTAGCACCCCATGCACAGAGTGCAGGGACTATCGTCTGAGGGGCGCACATCTGCCTCTCCTCACTATTGAGCCGCCCAGCGACAGCTCAGTGGACATGAGTGACCGTTCAGACCGAGGCTCTCTGAGCAGACAGCTGGTCTTCGAGCAGGAGCCTGGTGTGGGAGCTGGCTCCCCTCAGGGAACCCTCAAACACTCCCCCAACACCGGCGCCCGCCAGGCCTCCACTGCAGCTGCCCAGGGTCAGACACGGGCTCCCAGCAGACCCATACCAACACATATCCCTCACCAGGTGGCCCCCCACCACCACCATCACCACCATCCTATCCACCACCATCAGTACTCAGACACACCTTCATCCTCCTCCTCGCCGCAGCAGCCCCCCACCACCCCACTCTCCTCCTCCTCCTCTACAGCTCTGCCCCCTGGAGGCCTGGAGCAGCCATGCTGCTCAGACGGAGACAATGACTCACTCAACTCCACCACCAACTCCAACGAGACGGTCAACTGCAGCTCAGGCTCCTCATCTCAGGACAGCCTGCGGGAGCCTTTACCTCCTCTGGGCAAGCAGACGTACCAGAGAGAGAGCCGCCACAGCTGGGACTCTCCGCCCTTCAACAGCGATGTGGTGCAGAGGCGCCAGTACCGCATAGGCCTCAACCTCTTCAACAAGTAAGATGTGGCACTGAACAGCAAAAGAACCCACGAGTAGATGTTTCAATCGGATTGCAGTCAAACTAATGAAACTGTTTTTTGTGTTGCCTTGATAGGAAGCCAGAGAAAGGGATACAGTACCTGATTGAAAGAGGGTTTGTCTCTGACACTCCAGTGGGGATTGCTCGCTTTATCCTAGAGAGGAAGGGCCTGAGCAGGCAGATGATAGGAGAGTTTCTGGGGAACCGGCAGAAACAATTTAACAAAGATGTTTTAGAGTGAGTATGAGAATTTAGTCCAAACTCAGATCGAGGATGCTTGATTTAGACAGGGGGTGGAGTAGGGGAGGTGTGACTGTGACCTCTGCTGTGTGTTTTTCAGCTGTGTGGTGGATGAGATGGACTTCTCAGGTATGGACCTGGATGACGCTCTAAGGAAATTCCAGGCTCAGATTAAAGTTCAGGGTGAAGCCCAGAAAGTGGAGAGGCTCATTGAGGCTTTCAGGTTGGTCTGTGTTGAACACGATGGATTTACTCTAGAGAAGCCGAAGATTATTTCTGTCACTATGGCTGACGTATGAAAAATGTCATGTTTGAACTTGTCCTTTCTGTCTCATATGCAGTCAGAGATATTGTGTGTGTAATCCCACCCTGGTTCGGCAGTTCCAGAACCCGGACACCATCTTCATCTTGGCCTTTGCCATAATTCTCCTCAACACAGACATGTATAGTCCCAACGTCAAAGCTGAGAGGAAGATGAAACTGGAGGATTTCATCAAGAATTTGAGAGGTGCTCACACACGTGACACTTAAGATTATGAAACACTTAAAGTTCCTTTTTAATATTTATATTAACATTTTAATATTCCGTTTTTACGTAATGTGGTTTTTGAGTAACACTCTAAATGAGGTTCAACAGTCAATATGTTTTTGATGGATTTATATGCATTTAGACACCAAGTGTAATTTTTGTGTTTTTACCAGCTTTATCTTGTATGAAATTTCTAAATATCACTACATTTTTTTCCCCATTAGATAAACTGTATAACTTCTTTTGATGATTTCCTTTTCCCCGTCTCCACCCAAGGCGTTGACAATGGTCAGGATATACCCAGGGACCTGCTGGTTGGGATCTACCAGCGGATACAGAAATGGGAGCTACGGACCAATGATGACCATGTGTCCCAAGTGCAGGCGGTGGAGAGAGTCATCGTGGGCAAGAAGCCTGTGAGTGTCCCCAACCCCTGACATGACCTCTATTAGTGTTTGTTGTGACAACAGAATGTGGAGGTATAACCTGCATTGAAATAACTCTTTGTCCATGTAGGTGCTGTCCCTTCCCCATCGCAGGCTGGTGTGTTGCTGCCAGCTCTACGAGGTGCCCGACCCGAACAGACCTCAGAGGACGGGAGTGCACCAGCGAGAGGTCTTCCTCTTTAATGACCTTCTGGTGGTAAGACTCACATCCATCACTTTTAAGACATGGCAGATCCTGTCATAACTCATGTATTTCAGCTAAAAGCCTCTGTATGAAATATGCAATCTCTCTTGTGCAACAGGTGACCAAAATCTTCCAGAAGAAGAAAACCTCAGTGACTTATAGTTTCAGACAATCGTTCCCTTTGGTTGAGATGCAAGTGCACATGTTCCAGAACTCGTGTAAGAAGCCATTTGTCCTTTTGCACATTTCAACTATTTCAACTAGGTGGTTAAGGCTTATATTTCTCTCCGTTTGCGTCTCTTAGACTACCCTCATGGGATCCGCCTGACCACAGCAGTCCTGGGAGGGGAGAGGAAAGTTCTTATCGTCTTCATGGCACCCAGTCAGCAAGATCGCACCCGCTTTGTGAGCGACCTCAGGGAGAGCGTTGCTGAAGTGCAGGAGATGGAGAAATACAGAGTCGAGTGTAAGTACCCCATCTACTGATGATTACTGTGAACTGCACTTTGTAGAAGGCATCATACATCTGCCAAGGAGGTTACGTTTGTCACCCTTGTCCATTGGTTTATTTGATGGTTTGTTTGTCAGCAGGATTACGCAAAAACTGCTCAGCATATTTTCATGAAACAAAGGGACGAATCCAAAAAATTCCAATGTGAGATTTACCAATTTCCGAGGGAATAATTGATGGATTTTGATGAGAAACAATCAAGCATATTTATGGGATTGGTGTCTTTGAGTGTGTGAAATTTGGTGCAGATTAATTAGGGAGTATGTCAGTTTTTAGTGCATTTTATGTTTATTCTACTTTGAGCTATTTGAATTCTTTGTATCTGTTTTATTGCTACTTTGCTCTATGCTGCTGTATCAATATATTATCTATCTATTTATTCAGTTTAAGAGGATTGTCAGGTGTGTGCTCACCTGAGTGCCATCTCAGTTGTGTTTTTGAGAAAAATTAAAGTTGGTCAAGTGTTTCTTGTTGTCAGATTATGCTCTTCTGCGTGCTGTGTCTCCCTCCCATTTGAAATTCCCCTGTGCCCTCTGCGTTTAATCACAGCGGAGTTGGAGAAGCAGAAAGGTGTGATGCGACCCAGTTTGCTGACAGGAGGTGTGGTTGGAGGAGGTGTTGGAGTTAAGAGCGATGTTGTGAACGGCACCCTGGGAAGGACGAGTTTCGATGACAGCGTGGGTGAGGGTCTGAAACGCACAGCGCTCAGCTCATCTCTCAGGGACTTATCGGAGACAGGTGAGACAACTGAGCCTCGGAGACAGGGGAAATTCCATTTCCTTCCTGTCAGCTGGGTTGAATTGGGTATCAGAGCTCTGTTTCTATTGCTACATCCTGTTCCTCTTTCTGGCTGACATTCAGACACAGCATATGCAGATCTTATCTTTTGAAATAAATGTGAACAAATATTTCAACCTTCCGCTCTTTGCTGACATGATTCTTCCTGGTCGGGTGCAGGGAAACGTGGTCGCAGGAACAGTGTTGGTTCTCTGGACAGTACCATGGAAGTAAGTCTAGATGGAGACTTTAGTAGACCTACATTTCCCCTCACTCGTGCTTTATCTTCCTGATCACGCTCAGTGTGTGTACAGTGTGCATAGAGATGGTGTGTATACGTGTACATGCATGTGCGTGTGTCCATCTGTCCCGGACCTGACACCCTTTGCATGGCTGTGAGCGTTCACATCTTCCCAAGCATGTCTCTCCTCTCCTGAAATATTTCCTGTGTATGATGATGTTAGTAGGAATAGGAGCTTTATTTGAGTCCTCCAAAGAATGATGATGACTTTATCCTCCCAGGGCTCCATCATTAGCAGCCCACAGCCTCACCAGCGCTATCAAGTGCCAGGTGTCGTTCCTGGCTGCTACGGAACAGAAGACTTCCGGCCTCACCGCCCCATCCTGAGCCCCGGAACGGGGGTGGGGGGTGGGCCGGGGCAGCAACATACCACTGCTGGGACAGGAGTTGGGGGAGTCTCCAGCAGTGCAGAGAGAGCAGGAGCGGGGAGCGTCCCTGGGGGGAGCAGCAGCAGCAGCAGCAACAACAACAGCAGCTCCTTCCTGGGCTCTCTTTTCGGCAGCAAACGCGCCAAACCACCAGGGCCCCTTATTCCACCGGGGCCACCTTACCCCGCACCTGTCCCCCCACTGACTACAGGAGGGCCCCCTCCTCACTCCCCTTCATCTCTGTGCCAGTTGGAGGGGGGGCCTTCCAAGATCCAGGCGCTGCACGCACAATACTGTCACGTGGGCACCGTGCAGCCCCCGCCACCCTACTACCATCACCATCGCTACCACATCCAAACTGTCAACCCTCCTTTGCAAGGTGTGGCCCCTCATACTATACACAGAGGCCCACTACCCTGTCGTCCACCCCTTGGCCCATTGCACGTCCCGCACCCGCAGCTGGCCCATCTCTCCCAGCTTTCCCAGCATGGGCTGCCGGGTCGTTACGCCAACATGGTGGTGGGATGTCCCCCCCCCCTTTCTCCTCTCTCCCAGCATTCCCAGAACCCGCAGTTTACCCTTTACCACGCGCAGCCCACACACTCTGTCAGAGGGGTCGGCGTCCCTGGCACCAAACCTCCACTAATGTTGTCTCACTCCCACCCGCACCCCCACGCACACTCCCAAACCCACCCCGGACACGTACATACACCACACCCAGCCAGCCACTCCACCCATCAAACACACTTCATATTCGGCACTCTGCCCCACAACCTGCCGTCCGCCTCCGTCAATGCGCATCACGCAGCGTCCGTCGCCCCGTATCTGCCCCAGTACCCTCCTCTCTCTTCCATCCCCCCTCCCCCACCGCACTCCCCTTTACCCCCCCCTTCGTCCCCCCTTACCCCTCTTACACCTCTCTCCCCTCACCCCCCCCAGCACCCCGGGCAGCCTCAGCAGGGGCAACAGGTACAGGGGGCTGGAGCGACAGGTACAGGGGGCAGCTCCAAATCCAAGCCTATCAACCGGATAAGTACCGTGGTGTGAGCAGGATGTGGGGCCCCAGGCGTCAGAGGTCAGATGATAGAGTGGTGGAGGTGGGCAGAACGAGGGCGAGAACCAAGTCTGCCAGGACAGAAAGCAACAGCAGCAGCGCTAGTGACAAGCGGAAACGCAGTTTGCTTCGTCTCTGTTACTTTCACCTCCGTTTCCCACATATGTAGGTGGAGATAAAAAGCACAGCCAGAGATAGATAACACGTGCACACATCCTTGAAACCTGAACACATAAAAACACACACACACACACATACATGCACAGCAACAAGAACAACCCCCCCAACATTTCCACACAAAAGTCCAAAAAGTCTATAGCCATATAATCTAAAATGGAACTACATCTATATCTATTTAGATTGTCTGAAATCTAGTTGAGTGTGTATGAGACTATTTACATATACAGTATCGAGATGTGATGATGTGACACTGGAAACACAGAGACCATATATATATATACACACAGTATATATACATATATATATATATCCCGCTGCTTACATGGGGATGTAAATAAAGACTAAACCACCAAATGCATTCCGATGGAGTTTGGCATTAAAATAGCAGAGAGTTGCAAAAAAATGTCCCTTGACTTTGCAATAATTTCCTTGGTTTCATGATGTCTCTGTCCATTTTGCAGTTTCTGCTTTGCTGACAAGCATCTTTTTTTCTAAACAAGACCTCAGATATGTTGCTTTGTCTTAAACTTTAAAACCAGTGCACGGTTTCCTGACAGTCTTTTGCTTAAATGGTCTCTTACATGTCAACAGGAGCCCCCTGGCTTTATAATGCATTCCTCGTGGGGTATATGGGAATTATCGATACAATCAATAATATATTTTAAATGTTTCTGAAGCTTCTTGCTGTTTTATTGATATTATACCTGCTATGAGTGATGAATATTGTCTAATAATTGTTTTTATCAGTGATAAATTATATCAGCAGATGTTTGTACATGGTTATGGAGAGTATATGCACATATAAATCCCCTTGGTTTGTCACAATGACGAGAGGGTGTTCTATTATGTGAAGTGTGATTTATTTCCATCGTACTATGGTTTCCATTGAATTCATCTTTTTAATAATTAGTATTATTGATTGTTGAAAATAATTAATGAGGTTCAACTGAGTTTGGACACCGACAATATTCCTTCTTTTCTGTTCTGTGAGCAAACAGGAGCAAAAGTTCTCCAAAAGTATGATTACCAAAACTTGAACTTTCAGAATGGATCTGAGTTTGTGTTTCTTTTTTTCATTTTGATGAGGCTCCCAGTACAGGAAAAAAAAATTGATTGTGGGAATAAGACCTGGATTTCGTAAAATGCCATCCTCTCGTAATTATACAGGGCAACTGTGCTCACTTATCTGCAGTCATCAGATTTAGTCATTGTGTGTTTTTCTATGTTTTGAAGAAGCACGCTTTTACATGAGGTTTTGTGGTTTTGCACACGTGATGTCTTAAGTCAGAAATGGCCTTCTTCTAATCCTCCCTCTTCTGCCACCTTCAGAAAACTCTTATTATATTTCCTGATGCTTCGGCATCCTGCTGAGGGCTCCTCGCTTAAAAAAAGTAGAACTTGAGTCAAGAATGTAACATAGCCTGCAGGTATATACTGTATTTTCCTTTCTTTTTCTGTGGGCTTCGTAAAAGTGTTGTCCCTTTTGCTACTGCAATTTTTGAAGTTGAAATGAAGCACTGGTGTGGTTAACCTCCTGTGCCATTTATCATCAAGAGAACTCTACATATAACCTGATTCAGGAGAGGAGGATGAATCAGTGTGGACAAAGTTAAGAAAATCTACGGAGCAAGCAACTGAAGTTGATGAAGATATTTAAGAAGATCCAAATCCTCATGAGAAGGATTTTTACAGAGATGTGAAGAGAGTCATGAATGTCAGATGAATATTTTATAGGTATGTGTTGGCTAGCATTTTCTTTTTATTGTGTCCATTTTGACTCTTCTTGCATGAATATATCTGCACTTATTGAATAGATTGTACTGTATAAACCTGAATGTACATAATATACTATACATAGGCTTCTCATCATAACTATGGGATGATCTACTCCCTGTCTGCATTCAGGTGCGTGCATGTAAGTGCCACTAAGTATGTACATATAAAAGAGGGACAGGGACAGAAGACGCTGACCAAAAGGAAATACTGACTTCTTTTCATTTTCTTATTATTTCAGACTGAAGGTGAGAGAATGAGTTACTATGATATAAATTATTAAAGCCCAAAAAAGATTTTATGTCAGTGCACTTATTGATATTATTTTAAACAAATGATTTCAATTTTTTCCTTTGTGTTTGCATAATGTGTACTGAAAGAATAGAGAATTGAGATGTGAATATTTATTGCTTCTGATAAATTAAAGTGTCCTTGCAGTGAAGTTGACTCTGTGTGTGGTTTTCATGTGATAAACTAAAGTCCGCTTCCACCTTTGCATTACAACAAAGATCAAGGTCCACATTGGAAAAACCTCAGATGCACATAAGAGATGGACAATAAACACAATATAGTACAATTAATAATAATATCAAAATGTAAAAACACAAACATTTACAGAAAGTTTATTGCAAACAAGTTACACAGGCATGAGGAGCTCAATGTTCAGTGTCACAGTGATAAAGAGAAATATAATATCTATCATGCATCATATGATTTTATATAGGGGGACTTTTCTCAATTAATATAATATTTCAATTTTACGTAGTTAGAATGAGATGGGTGGACACCAGTACAACGTGTCTTTAAGAAAGATTTAAAAGAGGAGAATGAGTTTGATTTCATTTTTATTTTTAAAGTTTTTAACAAAGATGTTGCAAGAGACAATAACAATGAATGATACAACGTTGCATTTTATTTCATGCACGTAGTCAATATGAGCATGTTTCCATTGGCTCTATTACAACCCTGCACCTCTACAGCTCTTTAATAATCCTGCAACTTTACAGCTCTATAAAAACCCTCTACCTCTGCAGCTCTACTAAAACCCTGCACCTCTGCAGCTCTGTTGCAATCCTGCAGCTCCTACAGCTGATCTCGTTGTTTCCGGTGTGCGTACGTGTGCACTACTTTCAGGGAGTAAACGTGGCGGACGTGGTGTGGAGATTCGAGGTTGTGCTCCGGTCGTGAGAAAAAACTAAGATGGCGTCTCGTCAAGAAAGATAGCCTGGCCCGATGAGAGTGATCATATTGATCGGGAAATGATTGATCAACGACACAACCGATGATGCCCGAGACTCTCGCTCACCATTAAACGAACCTCTGTCGCCCGCGTTCTGAGCCCGAGTCGTTCGGCAGAACGGAGCCGATGGAGAACCGAGGCTGAATATCGGTCAACTTCGCTAGCAGCGGTAGCTAGCCGACCGGACCGAGCACAGCTGGCCACCGTTAGCTAACCACCAGGCATCACAACAACAGAGGAAGGAGAGCGGCCACCAAGCCCCATCACACCCCGGGACATCGAGGTGTCTGCGGGTCAGTCACGACAACGCAGCGGCACATTTCAACGCTGATGGGTCGATAGATAAACGCACATAATAGATTTTGTTTCCCACGGACACGTATGAGATTAACGCCGATTAGCTGCCTGTTAGCGTGGGTTTGAGCAGGACGGCTGTCTCGCCTGTGGTTTGTTGACTTAGTCTCCTCGGGCACCCACTCCACGTTAGCTCACCAGTGCTAGCTTGTTACCTAAAACCGTGGGAAGCTGAGCTGAGAAGAAGTGGAGGCCTCGATGCTAACGCTAGCTCAACTCGCCTGTGATAGATGAACAATAGGCACAAATAGACCTCATGACGGACCCCAGAGGAGACACCTGTACAGCCAGCTAGGAACCAGGGAACCGGGGCGGACACTTTTCTTTTCTTTCCGTTTTTTGTTATGGCTGTCGCCGGAAGGTAAGCTTAGTTTTGACGCCACTTGTCCCAAGTTTAGGAGCTAATCGCTAACAGTTGTCAGTTAACACGGTTCCGTGTCGCCGGGTGATCTTTCACAACACCCACACCTCAGCGGGCTGTTTGACTCCCGGGTTCGTTGTCAATTGTCCAAAAGCTCAGTGATTAATCTCGCCCCAGCCCACTCGTGTGTGTGGTCATGCCTTCATGGCCTTCGATACCTCAAGGGTTCATGGCCTCCACGCCATTGTTTGTCTGTGAGACCATGAAGAATGAGATAGATGGGGTCCATGCCACCGGACCCTACTTTAAGTTTAATACATTTATTCGACCTTTCATAATGAAAAACTTTTAAGATTACACAGAGAGCTCTACCGTGATTCTCACGTTTACACGTTTACACAACGTTTTCTGCTGTCACCTTTTTATTGAAACACTTCACTTGTTGTTCTGTGTTGCACCTGATGAAGCATCAGTCAACTGTTGCCCCTCTTCCTCGCTGGGCCTTGTTGATTCTCCAGAGCATGGCAGTTGTTTTGTCTGATGTTGGGGGAGGGGGGGATTTAACAATGAACACTTTGAGGACCCCCCCCCCATCCTGGTCTCATCCTGGGAATCTCTGTTTGTTTTTATTGATCATGAACTTAAAGCTTTGGGCGAAACAATAAACCATCAAACTTAAGATAATTCTTTAGTAGCACTGAAGATGGAAATGTACTTGTACACTGTGCCAGGCCAGGAAGTAATGCTTCAACAAGCGTAAACAAATGAAGAAACTTTTTGAAACCCTTCCATGCTCTTTATTTTGTCTCAAACTCGTTGGTTTTTACTTGTCACTGAGAGTTATTTATTTTGTGTGTTGTGTAAAATGTTGTTTTGAAGGCTGAAGGCACAATGCTGATCAATGAATGTACTTCTCTAGTGTCCTTTCCTCTGAACTTCCTTAAAGAGAGAAGTGACTAAATTGGGTGCTAGACTTTAGATTTTAAAGTTGGTCTCCACAAAGTAAAGATTCACATTCAAAAACATTCTAGACTTTCTTCAGTTGTTGTCATACACATTCGATGAGTCAACGAGAGGTATTTAACTTGTTGTGCATTGTCCAACTTCCTTTTGTTAGGGCAATGGAAGGGGAAGAGTTTGTCCCTCCTCCGGAGTGTCCAGTATTTGAGCCGACATGGGAGGAGTTTCAGGATCCCCTGGGCTACATCGCCAAGATACGTCCGATCGCAGAGAAGTCTGGAATCTGCAAAATTCGACCTCCGCCAGTAAATATTTGCTTATGCTTGGTTTATGTTGAATAAATTGCCTGCTCTGTGTTCCATGTGTAACATATTCCATGCACAGGGTATTTGTATAGGAAGTATTAGGCCCAATACCATCAGACATCATCCAAAATCAGATTTTTGTAAACTTAAAGCTTCAGGCCTAAACAGCAGCTTTTGAGTCTCTAGTGGCAACAGTGATGAATCCACATCAGCAGCAGGGTGAGGAGGATGGAGATTACAATTAGAGACTAATGTGATATTTGTGTTTGTCATTCTACTTCATACAGTGTTTTCATGTCAGTAATATTTTGTAGTATATTGATTTGTTTCCAGAGGTATGATTGAGTTAAATACTGACGTGACTTGGTTGCTGCTCTAGAAAATAATTTTACGTTTTCTAACCCAGTTTTAAATTATATATTTTTTTTAAATAATAATTGGAAGGAAGAACCAATAAGAGTTTCAGTAAAGAACCACATGAGTATTTGTGTTAAGAACCTAAATAACATATTATATGGCTGCACCCTGAGAGAGTCCCCACTGTCTGACCATTGCAACCTATATGTAGCCCTCCAGAAACTTAGAGACATACCTGCCTGTGAACAGTTGACTTATCAGACTGAACCCTGGAAACATAGGCTACAAATTCACACCATTTGGCCAATCAGATAAATCTATGCTCAGCTACTTTAAGATTAATTGAGCAAGGACATAGGAGCTGTGTATATGCACACTTCAATGTTAATTTATTGCAAGAAATATTGTCATCACTATATTGAACAACTGCACATCACAGATTTTGTCACACAGCCTTAATAACCAGTCTGACAGTTTGAAGTGTAATCCAGATCTGAATGTGAACAACATGTCACTATACCTCCGCAACATCTGTGACCAGAGGAATTATCATGTTATTGAGTTGACTGTGCTTCTGTCCTATTCTCATGAACACCATCTTTCTTAAAAGTTGCCATAAATGTTCACTTTGCCTCAAGGATGAACTGATTAGATGTTTGTTGTCGAAGGTCACACTGATGTCCCAAAACTCCTTTTTGACCATAATTCAAGAATGAATGCACAAATGATAACACATTTTCAGACTTTTCAACTGGATAAACTGAAGTGATGATACTTTGTATTGCAAAGGTTAAAGGGTAAGGGGAAAAAAAATGTCTGGCTATTGTTCAGCAAAGTAACTGAGGAGCAGAAGTGAGGGTCCTGATGATATCTTCTGTCAGTTGACCGGTTGGTGGAGCTTTTAATTTTAGATGACAGCAAAAAGTATTTATGTATAAATAGAGCAAGGATAAATATGCAGTGTTCACACAAAAACGAACAAAATAATAATCTACAACTGAAATAAAGTTTTTCTGTACACTTACAACTCCATAACAGGTTTATAGGTGAGTTTCAGTTACAATTGTAGATAAGCTCCTAATCACTTTTGCACTTAGGCATAATTTGAACTTTTAAAATATTGATTTTGCCAAATAAAGATCTTGTAGTATATGTATTTCCCTCAGTGTTGATTGTTGAGAAAGTGGGTCTTTAATTGTTGAGAGTGTGAACTTCATTTGCTCTTTAGTTGGTGGCCTTGGTTATCCTCCCTGGTTAAAGCAGAGCCAAGTTCTTGAGCCTGAAAGCCAGAGTTAAACCAGGGTTAAGCTCAAACTAAGCTCTCAATCGTGTTAATCTTCGATGTCCATGTTCATTGGCTGTTTTTACTAAGAAGTTTTTTTTTTGTACGTATTGTCTGACAAATTTGTGTCTTTGCTCCCATATAGGATTGGCAGCCACCATTTTCAGTGGAGCTGGATACCTTTCGCTTCACACCCCGCATCCAAAGGCTCAATGAGCTGGAGGCAAGTTTTTCTTTATTTCCCTTAACTTTGACAGTTGAAGATTGTCATGGAACTGATCAGAGTCATCTTTGTTGTCCCTCATTCATCTCATTTTAGGCGGAGACCAGAGTAAAGCTTAATTATTTGGACCGCATCGCCAGATTTTGGGAAATCCAGGCATCCTCGTTGAAAATCCCACACATTGAAAGACGCATCCTCGATCTTTTCAGCCTGTCAAAGGTGAGTTTGAACTCACTTGTTTTTACTTAGAAAACAATTCAAAGATCTTTTTGTACGTTTTCTATGATTGCTGAAATGTTCCATATGGTTCCAGATTGTGACGAGTGAAGGAGGCTTTGAGATGGTCTGTAAGGAGCGCCG